TTGAAACATTAAATTATACGAGCTGTTATTTTCTTGTCTTCTCATCTCCAGAAATGCTCAGTTCAGATTGGAGCTGAGGAACAAAAGCAGGGCCTGCAGCTCACCCTTGGGCGCTGACACTGTGCAAAGTGCTCTCCTACAAAATCATCATCATCACCATCACCATCATCTTCCTTGTGTTGCCTGGTGATGGAACTCAGCTCTTTCCCTGCTGAATTTCCATCAGAATTAATCTTGCGAGAATTTCTGCAAGTTCCAGGCCACAAATAAAAGCAAACTGTAATTTTTCAGAGGACGTGTCTAAAATTTGGCGCCGCGTGAGGTGCTTCTTTCCAGAGATGAGTGATGTAACAGAAAAGTGTGATTTTAATTAAATTCAGCAGCTTTTGCTATGCTCTGATATGTCTTGTTCTGCACGGGGAGAATTGATTCTATTCTGCTTTATAGAAATGGATTTTGGGGGCATTAATAGTGTGGTTTTATCTCGCAGCACTTGACCAAGATCATTGCTGCTGTTTCACAGATGGGAACCAAATTTTGGAGGTGCTGCCTGGGTTGAGGGCAGGGCTGGAGAGGCAGCTCCAGGTTCCCTCTTTGCTGGGCAGCTCAGAGCCCCTCTTGGTAAATTAATTCTGCTTTAATCTGCCTCATTCCACGGAGCCAATGAGGGAAGCATTTTCAGTGCTGTGTAAAAGTGTCAGAAATTTTCATGATTTTCTTTGGGCAGCTCCAGGAGTGCTCAGGGTGGTGAGCCCGGGGTTCCAGAGCTGATGGCTGCCAGGGGGCACAGTCACAGGAATGGGCTGATCCCCAGTGACTCGTCCTCCTGGAGAAAAAGAGTAGGAAAAATTAAAAAGGGAAGGTTGGAGTTACCAAAATGATGTGCTGGGAAGAGCCAGATCTGAAATTTTGGGATTGAAGCAGCATTAAACCTCAGCAGTGGGACAGAAGGACTTTGCTGGAAGCCTGGGAGCTGTGGGAACCCCAGTCCCAAACTCCCATGGCACGCAGCCTGAAGCCTAAAATATTGATGAAATCAGTGTCCAGTGGGTTTTCTGTGCATTGCCACGATGCTTCCTTCAAACCAGGGATGTCAGGGGCTCTGGACACCCAGCCAGGGGAGCTGCAAGTCCTGCAGGTGTCATTTCAGCCTGTAGATTCCACACCATTGAAATCTTTTCCTGCCAGGAGGGCTCAGCACAGCCCTGTCCATCCCAGCAGAGAGGCAGAAGCTCCTTTGCACCAGCTGGAGGCTCTGGTCTCTCCATTGCTGGAGAAATCCCTCGCAGCAGGGACAGCAGATGGGAGCAGCTCAGGTTTCCCGGGTGTCACACACTCCACCTGCTCTTTAAAACACTCAAGTGTTATCCCTGGACTTAGGAAAACAGGGAGAGATTATCCTGCTGGTGCTGGGAGGGTGGAATCCCCCTCCAGAAAGGGATAAATCACCTCCTTTAGACTCCTGAGGGTGTTTGCACAAGGCAGGAAAACTTCCTTGCAGATCTGCCTGGCAAACCATCTCCACTGAGAGCAGCCTCGAGTGGGAGCAGCTCCTTGGGATGGAGTGCCCTGAGTGGGACATTGCCTCCCTCTCTGCTTCTCACCAGGCTTGCTGTTCCCAGGGCTGGTGTTTGACCCCAAGAAATCAGAAAAAATGGTAAATGAACCGTGCTGGGTCCTCCTGGCTCTGTCCCACATGGATTTGAGGCTGAGATGCTGCTGTACAAAAGGATCAGACTGATCACATCCCTAACCCTCTGCTCTCTGCAGAGGTGAAGGAGCTGCTGGGACAAGGCAGCCCAGATGCTGAAATATGCTCATAAATAAATAAACCTCCCAGCTTATTGCTGTTAGAATTGCAGCCTACCTGGCTCTTCCCGTTTAATAATTCAGAGGAAGGAGCAGCCAGGCAGTGCTGAGAGATTCCCTGTGCAGGGATGGACGGTGAGGATGTGGTGTGGGAGGGATCATGGGGCAAGCTGAGAGCAAGGCAGGGTTTTTTTAGCACGAGGTGCTCCATGAAATATTAATTGATTGTCCCTGTGGGTGTTGAGCTGTGGCTGTGGCTGGCTCTGCCTGTGTTCCATTTGCAGGGAGGTTCTGTGAGATCCAGAAAGTGGCCAAAATGTTTTGTGAGATCAAGGGGGTGCTTAGCATCACATGTCAAGGAGCTCCTCCAGAGGAGCAGCTCTCTCTCAACTCCAGAACAAATCACTTGGTCTTTTCTTCCTTTTCGGCTCTAAAACAAACACAGCAGATCGATCCCACTTCCCTTCCCTGCTTTGATCTCTGGGAGGACGCTGTGGGGTTTGTCTGTGATGGAACCTACTTTGGGAGCTTTTATTATCTCTGAGGAGCCCATTCCAGCTCTGTTTGATGGCACTGGAGGTTTTTGTTTTTCATCTGAGCAGGGTGGGGCTCGCAGCAGCCCCAGCACAGGCTGGGAGGATGAATGGCTCAGCAGGTGCTTCTGCATGGTGGTGGAGTAAAAAAAAGCTGGTGCTCAGCTAAAGATACGAAATAAGAGACATTTGCAAATGAATTTTAATCAACTGGGATCTCTGCAGACCTGCTGGACTCAAAATACTCATTTCTGTTGGGTATTCCCAGCTAGACTGTGCTCCTACACAAGAAGCTGAAATGTGCCTGGAGGTCTTTGAGAATTTCCCAGGGGATACAGAGCTTTTAGATCCTTTGACTGACAACATTTTTACTCATTTTACCAAAAAAAAAAAGACACAGAGATTGTTCCCAAACCAGGTGTTTGCTGTGGGGGAGCTCATGTGGCATCACCTGCATGGCTGGGGCATGATCTGTGGGAAGGTTCTCAGTGAAAACCCTGTGCTTGGGAGAAATACTGGGTTGAAAGATCTCCCAGTTGGCTTTTCTTTGTGCTGCCTTGGTAGGGATCTGGTGGGGTCTGTCCCCACCACATCAAATCCATTTCTGCAGCCAGCTCAGCTGTTTTCAGTGGCAAGAAACAAAATAACCTAAATTGATGTAAAAGGGACCTTAAATAAAAAAATAGGGAATTATTTCAAATAGTGGCTGTTGGTAGAGCTAAATTAAATTGTGTTGTTGCACTTAGAAGTCCTGGGGAAGTGCAAGGGATGAACAAAGGGAAAAACCCAAGGCTTTGTCCAAAAAGCTGCCCTTCAGCTCCAGATTTTGGATGGTCCATTGAGTAATCCTCACCCTGGTGTGACTTCTCCCTCTAATTGCATTCTGTGAGTCCTTATTTAGCCATTAGCTGGACACAGGTTATTAATTCTTCCCCTGCCCTGACTTTCACTCTGGACCTTCACTGGCAGTCAAGGTGAAGCTGGGAGGGCCAGGGGAGCTGCATCCTCATGAAACTCTGATTAGAAAATATTTTTCTCCCTTTTCTGCCTCCTTGTCTTACATGGGGAGTTGTATCACAGGAGCCAATTACACCTCAAGGCCAGATTTATGGCTGGAGATGTGTCCATGTGATTTTAATATTCTTTATGGCTCTTTTACTCCTTTCTCTCTGGCGTGGCGAGCACTGGGGAAGGAAATAGTCAGAGATTAAGAGCAGAAGATGCATGTAAAAGAAAGGAGCTCGTGCCTTGTGGTGGATTTCTTTTTATTGTTGTAACAAATTATGTTTAAACCGAGGTCACCTCTGAGTTCTGCCTTCTTGCCAGAGCTTTGCATCCCTTGCCTTCCTCCCTCCCGTGTTGCACATGGATGTGGTTGGACACACCTTGGGTGCTCCTTGCAGCTGTGATGGCTGGAATTGTCCTGCTCCACGGCTGGGGTCACCACGGCTCTTTCCCCTCCTGGAATCACCCCCTGGTCAGGGTTTTAATTGGACTCGCTGCAGGTCTCAGCACTGTCTCAAAGTGCTTGGTCTGGAGCTGCTCACTGAAGGAAGGCTGAGGTGTAGCAGGGGACAGAAAGCAAATTAATGCCAGTGAAAGGATCCAAAAATAGCAAATTTGGGGGCTAACCAGGCCATGTATTAAATCTTTCAGGAGAGGCAATCTATCATGGGCAGGGAGGGAGGTGGGGAAGGGGAGGAAATGGCTCCTGAGGGCAGGTACAGGTTCACATGGTGGCAGCTTTGCTCCTCCACAGCATCAGTGTCCCATCCCTGTAATTCACAGCCTGGGGAGCCCCACCTGCCTTCTCCAGGGTGCCCAGGAGGGATGGGCAGAGCTGCTCTGCTGCCACCCCTCCGTGTCCCTGTGCCCGTGGGGATGCCCAGCCCAGCCCAGCTGTAGCCATAAGGTGCATCCAGGCCCAGCAGAGCCTGGCCCTGTGCCAGCAATAATACGTGGGGTTTAATTAAAACAGTATTTTTCATCTCCCTCGTACGTTATTTGGTTATTGCTGCGGAATGAGCCAAGGAATTCTTGTATTCCCCCCACTCCCTCCCTCGCTGTTTTAATCTGCTTTCTCCCCTCCTTTCTTCCTGCCCTTTCGTTGTCCTTTCCCTCATCTCCAGGGGTTTAACTTTTTTCAGCTGTCACAAAGTTAAGATGAGGGAGCCTGGGGTTCATAAGGGCTCCTTCATTGCAGTGGGGTTGCAGGGAGATGCCAGTGGGAAGCAGCACAGAGTGCCCAGCCCTGCCCTGCCTGAGCTCACAGGTGGAAAGGCTCCATCACTGGAGGAGAAGGAGTTTCTGCATCCCAACAAATCCAACACCAGGCTGGAATTAAGACTCCTGAGTTGTTCGTGCAGCACCAGCTCAGCAGGAAGGGCTCGGCCACGGGGGCTCTGAGGTGCTGTCAGACCATGCAGCTCCTGATTTTGGTGCCCTGTGTGCTCAGCTCCCTCCCCAGCTGCATCCTTGCCCTGCCCTGCCAGCTGTGCCCTCGGGAAGCAGCAGAGGTGGTGTCACTGTGGGACAAAGATGGGTTGGCAGTGAATATTTTGTGCTGCTCAGCAGGATGCTCGGGGCTGGGCTGAGTTCAGGGGCTGTGCTGTGAGGGGTGAGGCACTGATATAACCCTGTCATTCCTTCCCTTCCCAGGCCCTTCCCTTCGGAGGAGACCACGGAAAACGATGATGACGTGTACCGGAGCTTGGAGGAGCTGGCAGAGTGAGTGGCCTCACCTTCTCCTGGCAGGGGAAAAGTTGCTGTGGGTTTCCAGCAGAGGCAGATAAAGTTTGACAGCAGGGCTGGGAGAGCCAGGACGGCTGCTTTGATCCTTTTGCCAGGAGATTTTTGTGCTCTGACAAAAGTCCATCTTTTTCTCGTGTAAAGCCCTGGGAGATGTCACTTCTAATCAGGTTGAGCTGATGAGTGGCTTGGTGGGGGGCGAAAGGGGCCAAGCCCAGGGGATCCTCTGCTCCTCCTAAATCCCAAAACCTTGGGATAATTCATCCTCCGAGGTGATCCAAGCCAGCTCTGGGAGTGAGGTACCCACTGTTAACAGGGCTGGTTCCCCCCATGGCGTTTTTTGGGTGCTGCATCCCCCGTGTGTGATTTTGGACCACACCAGCTGGCCCCGGGGCAATCAGAGAATACTTTGGGGTGAAAAGGACCTTCAAGAACAATTCATTCCACCCCTTTGCAATGGGCAGGGACACTTTTCACTATCCCACATTGCTCCAAGCTGGCTTTGGACACTTCCAGGGTTTTGGCAGCCACATCCTGCCATGACACCCACCCTGCTTGTCCTTGCTGGGCCGTGGGGTGATGCTGCTGCTGTCCCTCTCTGTGTTTATCTGCTTTTTCTGCCTGTGGTGATGATGTAACAGGCTTTTAAAATCAACCTTGAACTGCAGCACACACAGTGAAGTGCAGGCACTATTGGAATTCAATGGCAGCATTCCCATCAAGCCAGGGTTTTGCTTATGAAGTGCAGTCTGCTACACGGAGAGGGATGGACTGCATGAGTGGATATGTGGCTTTATGCAGTTAAATATTATTGTTCCACAACATAAATAATAAGACTCCTTAATCCAATGAGTTCCTTATGGCTTCAGTTATTACAAAAGTAAATCATAAATTACCAGCAGAGGGAATGGAGTACCCTGGAATTCCCTGCTTGCTGTTGGCTCCCAGCAGCTGCAGTTTAATAAAATTTTAACTAAGAAAGGGATCCTTTCAAGAATAGCATTTTTTTTGTGCCCCCTCTCCAAATGTTCTCAAAATCCCTTTAATATTGGGGTTTAAAATTCCTGTTTCTCACACACAGATGGCTTTTAACTGGGGAGAGGTTTGTGTGGGGACTCTCACACAAGTGCTGAGGGGGGATGGCAGTGCTGGCCTAGAAAGGGTGGGTTTGGGATGCTGCTCTTGGTTATTTGGTGCTGGAAGTTGAGTCCCACATTTAAATCTGCTGAGGTGTCCAGGTGGAAGCTTCCCAAACTGTTCCTTGTCCCTTGGTCAGGTAACTTGGAGGTTTTTTTCAACTGATTGCCTTGTTCTGTCCCAGATCTCCAGCTTTCAACTTTCCCATCCTTTCCCATTCCATTTTTGTTTTCCCATTCTCTGCAAAATCCTCTTTTTTACATCTTACTTAGCACTCGTGGGGTAAAGGCATGTTGAAACCAGCAGGGATTGCACAGATTCCTTCATCCAGACCTGCCCTCCCAGAGCATGGAAACACAAAACAGTGTCAAAACTCACCCATAGCTGTAAAAACCCCAAAATCACCCTGGAGAGCCCCTCAGCACCAGCGCTGCTGCTCCTGCTGCCCTTTCTGCCTCGGAGCAGGGAGCTCTGACTGGAAACGTGCCAGTCCCAGTGGTGTGGCACTGCCAGCCTGTGGCACCCGTGACAAAGCTCTTTCTGAGCTCCTGCCCTCTCCAAACAGCCCCACAAGGGCAGCATTCACTGCTGGGAATGATTCAGTCCACCCAGCATCCCTGCCTTTAATATTTCTGATGATCCAGCAGCCTGGGGAAGATGTGGCTGCAGCCAAAATGCTTTTTTTTTTTGGAGGCGAGGAAGTGATTTCCACAGCAGGCAGGGAAATGCCACACGATGTGTGGAGGGAGCTGCTCCAGCCCTGCCTGTGAAACCTGCAGGGATTTGTCACCTCAAGGTGCCACTCTGCTGTCCCCACGGGCACAAGGGTGGGTGAGGAGGGCTCTGTGCCACCAATTCACCCTGGGAGAGAGGAATCCCCCAAAGGGAGCTCTCAGGGTGTTGTGCTGTTGGACAAAAAAGCTCAGGACAAACATTGAGTTGGTTCTAGCGAGACATTTTGGGGGCTGGTAAATGAGGGGTTTTTTTTGGAGAATGTCAAAATGCTTCCTTTCAACTCTACTTAAGTGGAGCAGTTTGGTGTCCCCAGGTTGAGATTTTGAACTAAAGGCAGAGCCTTTAAAATATGAATATATTTGTGATGGAGGTGCTGATTTGGGGAGCAGAAGGAACCAGGCTTTGTCCTTGTTGTGCCCATGATGCTCCAAAGAGTGAAAACTTTTATCCTGAGAGCTCTCCCAGCTGTGGGACAAAAACCAGTGCCAGGGCTGGCCAGGGGATGCAGGAACAATCCATGGGGTGTGTTTAAAGGATGTTTAAGCCTTGCTGACCCCATTGTGCTTTCACCTTTGGGGTGTTGCAGGGATTAATCCCAGCTCCACACGGATCCCCAGCCAGCAGATCAAGGCACATAATTGCCTGGAAACATCCATTTAGTTTAAAAAAAAAACCCCAACAATTGGTGATGGAAAGGGGAAGGGAAGCTCAAAGGCTATCAGGGGAGCTGGGAAGTTCTCAAATTCCCTGTTTTCAGCCCTCTGGCCCCTGGGTTTGCTATGCCCTGGGCCAGATGGCAGCTTGCAGCCAGCCTGGGCAGATGGCAGGGGCTGCTCGCATTGCAAGTGCTGCCTGATCGATGCTGGGAGGGGCACTAAAGGGACAATTGGCCTCTTGCTGCCTGATTTATTCCAGCCTGCCCCGTGCCAGACCCCGGAGCAGCCGTTTTGGGGGCAGTTTGTCCATGAAATGAGCTGGGTTTTGCAGCAGCAGTGTGCGGGTTCATCCTCTGTGCCCCTCTATCAGGGATGTTCCAGTGACCCCTGTCCCGAGGATGCTCCTGCACGTCCCTGGGGATGGGAGCTGCTGCTTCCCACATGGCTGTGGCTGCTGGGAACTGATGTCAGGAGGCAATTATCCACCTTACTGCCCTGCCAACTGCTTTTCCATCCCCCTTTTATGGCTCTTTCAGCTGCTCCAAACCATCCTGGTACCTCAGAGTTACACTTAACATTTCACCTAAATTTTCTCTGCTGCCACTTGGGCTCTCTCCAGTTATTTTGTCTCATTAAATTTATGAGAGTGATTAATCCTGGCCCTTTTTACAGCCCCAGAGCCTTTTTTATGATGAACCTTCTCCATTTCATGGCGCTGTCCCTCTGCAGTGGCACAATTACACAGGACAGATTTTTGAGTTATTTGTTGGCTGTTTGAACAATTCAGAGTCAGGCAGAAGTTCCGTGAATGGTTTGAAGTGAAACATTTAATTTGCATAACTTTTACCTTTATTTTCTCTTCTGAAGATAATTTGTTTAGAGGAGAGGAGTTGTAGTTTTGCATAAAGGACAAAATAAATGTTTTAGGCAAAGCAGATCCCCACCAAACCCTACCCATGGAGATCTTTGTCCCACAGGTCAGTGTCGATGTCCCCTGCTCTTGTTTTGAGCTTCAGCTCACTGGAATTTTATCCCTAACAAATTTATTGGAATAATTGATATTGTATTGGGATAATTGTGTATTCCCAAACTTTCCATCCTAGAGGAGGGGGATCTGCTAGGCCACAATTTCTCAAGTGATGCCTCTTTAGGGCTCAGCTTCTTGCTGAAGTTTCTCCTGCTTCTCTCACTGCTGTCACCAGCATTGCCCCCCTCACATCTTCCAAAATAGTGCTGTGATCAGCAGAATTTCTCACATGCATTAAAAAAAATAACGAGTGCAGGAGCCAAGGTGAGATGATAAGTTAGCTGCCACTTTTCTCATTATTTTTGCTGTGTTGGACAAACCAGGCACAGCAGCCCCTCAAATAAATGGCTCTGTGGTGCAGGACACTTGAGCCAGAGCACTTGTAAACGTGTCTGTCCTCCTGTGTCACTTGTATTGATTTTTGCATGTCCTGCTCGTGCCATCTCATATTGGTCCCTGTAACTGTGTGAGGATTTTTCTTTGGATCAGAACTTTCCACTTGGGGTGGAGAATGCAAGCCCCAAGCAGAATAGATGGGAAAAGGCTTCTCCTGCTGTTTCCAGATCAGTGTTTCCATCCAAGTCCAATCTGAGTAATTAAAACCCTGCGAGATCTCGAGTCCAGCAGCTGCACACCCTGCACTCCCTCACCCTGAAACCTCAGCCTGCCAGATGTGCTGCACATTTAGGGTTCTGCTTGTCCTCTCTGGCACGATGAGGGGCTGGTTGGAGGGACCCCTGAATGAAGGGGTTGGTTGGAGGAACTGTGTATTTATAGCTGTGATCAGAGTGGGAATGACAAAGTGGGGATTACTGGGATGGACTGGAGCCTCCCAGCTGGACACCCTGCAAATGCACTCCCAGCCTGGGCTTGTGGTGGCTCTGAGATCTTCCGGCTCTTAACCCTGGTCACAGGACTGCAAATTTGGGGTTGTCTTATTTTAGCTCCTCCTGTCCCCTCCTGCTCTTTCTTTTGCTGTTCCTGGTGGTTCTGGCTCTTTGCTCAGCGTGGTTTGGACGGAGTTTTGGTGTGGTGGGTTTGTCATGAGGGTTTGTCCTTGAATTCTTGAGGCTGGTACAAAACTCATCAACTTCCCACAGCAGCTTTTATGGATGGAGAGGCTCTTCAGTGGCCCTGAAATCCATCAGAGCTCCCCCAGTGTCACTGCAAAGATGATGTGCAGGGTTCCTTCATGCTGTGTGTCATTTACTGGGGCATCATGGGCTGTCTGTGCCCACGGTCACCTTCCATCCCTTCCAGCCCCAATAATTCTGTGATTCTATGGATTTGCTCCTTCCTTTTCCCTCCCTCCAGGGCAGCATCCTGGCACCAGTGCCTCTGTTCTGGGAGCTGCTCCTTGGCACGGCTGTGCCTGCCTGGGTGTTAGTGCAGAGCAGGCATTGCCAGTGAGGCACAGCTCAGCCAAAAGCATTGTTTTTGCCTGAAATTGCCTCAGATATGAAAAGCTTTATTCATTATCAGCTTTTCTGGGTCGGCAAGATGCTGCCAGCCCAAAGCTGGTTACATCCATCCTAATAACAGTAATTGCAAATGCTGGTGTTCACTCTGAAGGGTGGCTAAAATCCCTTTCCTAACCCCAGAGCTGTCAATGAATCTCCTAATCCAGGCAGTAGATCACAGGCTCTGATACCTACGGGTAACTCACAGACTCTGCTGCTTTTATTGAAGGAGTAAATTGCTTTTCTTTGTGAGGAACGAGGTGATCTGGCTTTCCTTGCTCAAGTTGCTCCATCTGCCCGTGACACGCTTGGGATGCTGAATTTATTGCCTGAATTCAGTGTGCCCTGAGCTTTCCACTGGCTAAAATCATCCCAGTCCCTGTGTTAAGAACAGGAAGGGTATTTTCAAACGTGGGGACAGGTGAGGATCAATATGTGCAAAGCAAAGATGTCAACATCTGTACAGCACAGCTGGAGCTTGGCTGCTCCTGGGCTGCTCCAGGAGAGGCTGATCCTCGTGGTTTTACTGCTCTCCATAAAAACTGGCAGCCCCTGGTGTTTCTCAGAGATGCACTGAGAATGTGTTTTAATAAATACCAGACTGCTGGACAATGGTAATGTTGTAATGCTGCCACGGCTGTCAGGTTTGAGGAGCTCTGGTGCATCACCCCAAAGCTCTGCAGTGGAAATGAATTTCTGGGTGTCCCCACCATGTGGGAATAGATCCTTTTTTTTTTAAAGCAGGAATTGGAGTAGAGAGGGGCTTGTTCTGCTGTGGAGCAAAGGAAGGAGTGGAGCAGGGAGGTTAGAGGAGTGGGAGCTGTGAGGTGCTGGCAGGATGTGGCCCCACGTGGTGGGTGCAGTATTTGTGTCTGTGCTGGGTTGACTTAAGAAGAAGAAATATATATATTAAAAAATCTAAAAGTTTTTTTCTTCATTTATTATTTCTTCATGTTATTAATAAAATTCTCCTTTACACCCCTTAAATTTGAAACCTGCCTTACTTTTACTCCTAATTCCATCCCACAACAACAACAATAACAAAAAATATTAAAATTAACAAATCTAAACTACTACATTAATGAAGAGAACCCTTCCCAAGAACCCTCCAGCCAGGGAAATGATGTGTGCAGAGACAGCCAGCAACCCCAGAGGTGTGGGCAGGGAGATTCATCAGGAATTGGGAGTGACTGGCTGTGGATGAGGAGCAGAGCTGAGAATATAAATATTGGTGCAGATAATAACAGCGATGCCTGGGAGGGGGAAGATGGATCACCAGCTATTAGTGGGCATTATTGCAGCAGCTGCAATGCATCACCCGGGAAGAATGGGATGGATACATCATGCCAGTGTATTTATTTAAAATCCCCAAACTTTTATTAAATAAATCTGGCTGTGTAAATAGAAAGGGCTGTATTTAAGCACAGAAATAAAGCCTGGTTTTGCAGGCAGATGTGCTCTGCTGCTCCCTGATATATGGTAGGGAGATGTTGAGTGTCACACTTGGAGCACAGCTTTACACCTAAATTTATTTGTGTGTAATTAAGACCCCTGTTGAAAGACACAGCTCGTAAAATATGCGAGTGCTGTTTGATATTCCAACATTTCACACTGTCCTGATCCTGTGGGATTGACTTCAGTGGGAGCCATTAGCAGCCAGCACCTGTAGATCTAAGCACTGGAATTATTATTGTTAATTGGTATTTAATATGGGCTGAATTTTTAAAAGTATTCCGAGGCTGAGGAGCCCCTGGGAGGGGTGTGAAGGCTCAGATGATAATTAATTACTGAACACCATCACCTTTAGCACAACCTGGGCACTACAGCTCTGGAGTGCCTTTGATGTCTGGGATTCAGGGGCAGCTCCAAAGTGATGGGGCTGGACCTCAAAATGTGACATTTTTGCTGCTTAGTTTCTCTCTGCTGTAAATGTTGTTTTTGGCCTCTGCCCACCGAGCTGAGTGCCTGATGAATTTGCCTTTTAGTGATCAGGAGAGCCTCGTACTCCCCTGGGAGATGCTGGGTTAAAAATCACCCAATTGCCCATCAGGGCAGGGGTTGGGCTTTGTGGGAGTTGGTGCATCACACAGATAACTGGATACAGAACATTTTAACCTGGCTGGAATGCCCAGGGCTGGGTCCAGGCTTTGCTGGGAGTCCTGCACAGCCCAGGGGTGTTGGTTCATCAGGACTGGGATGCTTCTCCTACTCGGAGACATTGGATGAGTGTTTAATATCTGCTGCTTTGAGTGGATCTGGGCTCTTAGAGCAGTTTGCACCCCTGGCTGGGGGAAGGGGATGGTTTTTTTGGCACAAAGGAAACCTTTCAGTGAGGAAAAACAAAATCACATCAAGAGCAAACACAGAGCCTTAAGCAGACCAAAATGCAGCCCTTAAAGTGAATTCTCTGAGTATTCTGTAAAGTCACTGATGCAAGAACTAACTGCTCCTGGTCCTGAAGAGGAGCTGAAGAGGGTTTGTGGGCACCTGTGGAGCAGGTGGAGAGGAACTGAAGGGGGGTTTGTGGGCACCTGTGGAGCAGGTGGAGAGGAGCTGAAGGGGGGTTTGTGGGCACCTGTGGAGCAGGTGGAGCTGGAGCTGGTGGCTCTGGTGGCTCAGATGGTCCCGCTGGGCACTTGGCTGGCAGATCCATCTCAGCTGGCCCCATTAGTGCCGAGCAGAAGGTCTGCAGGGGCAGAGCTGGCAGCCCGTGGTGGTGTGGGCATGGAGGGCACGCCTGGCACAGGGCACAGAGCATTTCTTGGCTGTGATCCCCGCTCGTGTCGAGCAGCATTCCGCCTTTTCCAGCCTCCAGCCAGCGGAAAGAAACGCGCAGCAGGCACTGATCCGGGAAAAACAGAGAGCACGGGCTGAGCACAGGGATTCGCACAGGATTTTCTTGTTGTGCTTCTCCTCAGTGAGCATCCCCTCGTTATTATCCCTGACTTCTTCTCCTTCTCGTTGCAGCGAGCACGATCTGGGGGAGGACATCTACGACTGCGTGCCCTGCGAGGATGAGGGTGATGATATCTACGAGGATATCATCAGAGTGGAGGTTCAGCAGCCCATGGTAACAACTCAGCTGCTTTTTTACAGCTACACCTCGGTGGGACGGGGAGGAAGGGGGGACGTCACCCCCATCACTGGCAGGTGATGCTGCAGGGATGGGAATTGCTCAAATCTCAGCACAGCTGGGATGGCACCGACCCAGAGGGGTTCTCCCAGGAGTTTCCCAGCCCAGCCTGTCACCTGCAGGAGTCTGGGGAGGAGGAAGGGCAAGGGAGACCTAATAAGCCCGAAAAGATAAGCTAAAAATAGGACTTTGCTGCTGAGGCTGTGTCACTCCAGCCTTTCCAGGGAGGCTCCGCCTGCTCTGCCAGCCAGAGGTGCTGTTGGAATTTTGGTATTTTTAGATCAGGGTGACAGATCTGCGTGTGAGGGATCCAGCAGCTGTCTGTGCCTGCTGCTCCTACCTGGATGGCTCAGAGCAGGAAGGTGTCAAGCAGCTGTCCCCATTTGTCACCTCTAAAAAGCTTTTGCTGATGGAGCAGCCTGAGTGTGAGGCATGGACAGCATCGTGGAGGGACCTGTGGTGTCTCCAAGGGCTCTGGGACAAACACCACACTCCATGGATGAGCCAAGGAGGTGTTGGTGGCCCTTGCACCTCCCCACCTGTGTCCCCAGCCCTGCTGCAGGGACCTTGTCCAGAGTGTGACCTTGCAAATGTGCCACCCGCGGGCTTTGTTCAGATGATTGCTGTCCCCTGGTTCACACAGTGCACGCCTCCCTGGAACAAAGCAGGATCAATGGACAAGTTCAGTGATCAATTCAGTGCCTGGAGCAGGACAGGCACGAGGGGCTGCAGCCTGGGAATGCAGGGCTGCATCCATGGATGCTCTCATCCCTCCCCTCTCCCAGCTCGCCTAGGAGTGGGAAAAAGATAATAAAACCTTAATTCCATCCCTTCACACCTTGCCTGCAGCTGGAGGAGCTCCCTGCACGCCAAACCCCCACCTCCAGATCGAGGAATATCTCCCAAAATACTCCCACTGATCCTGCCAAAGTGCTTGGATCTGAAGTCAGCACAGCTCGTTGGCCACCCGTGGTTTTTGCCACCAGTTGCAAAAGTCACTTGGCCCAAGAACTGCCCTGGGAAGGTTTTGGTAGGAATTTTTTTGCATAAATGGGAAAAATGGGGGAAAGCTCCAGCAGCCAGGTAATTCAGGATTAAGGGAAATGGAATTGGCATTTTTTCACTGTCCCTTCCATATTATTTTATATTTTCTGCTAAGCAGTGTTGGAGTTGAGAGCTGTGACTCCCTTCCCCTTCCCTGAGCAAAAGAGTCTATTTTTAATAAATCTACCAAAAAATTGAACATTTTGGGTAACATTTGTTGCAACAGCAAGTGTGTGATGCTAATGGCTTCTTGTATTTCTGCATGCTTCAGATTAGATACATGCAGGTAAGATGAACTGATTAAAATCTGGGTTTTCATCCAGCTGAAAGGTCCCAGCTGTGAGTTCTGAGGGGGTGGACAGAGGGGCTCTGTTCCTGTGCATGATCCATAAAACCCCATCACTGAACTCCCTCCCAAATTCAGATTTTGCCTTGCCAAGTGCAGCAGCTCCCAACACGTGGTCCCAGCTTTACAGAGCAGAAGTGACTGCAAGATTTGGGGCTTTGGGAAAAGCACATTTTATCAGATTTGACCTAAAATCATGAGAATTGGCAACCCTGGCCAAGGATTAAGTCTAACATATTATTTATGACCCACTTAGTATCTGTTGTGAGTTTCATCTTAAGCAACAACAAAAAAAATTTTTAAAAGGGAAAAATCAGCCTTTATCTCTTATTATTTTTTTTTTAGCTGATAGTCTTTGGTGGTGTGGCTGTAACAAATGCAAAAAATGCAGTGTTTTCCATGTTGAAACACATTTAATAACATAGCCAGGGTTCCTCCTTATATTTTTTGGATAAAAATAATTCCCTTTAGCATAAAATGGTTCTCTCCTGACTTTCCAAACTTATGCTTGGTTGCTGTAACTGGAGAGACTGAACTGGAGCCCCCTTAGGACCATCTGACCATGCCTTATTTTTGCTTTCCCTAGAAAATGGGAATGACAGAAGATGACAAAAGGAATTGCTGTTTGCTAGAAATCCAAGAAACCGAGGCCAAATACTACAAAACACTTGAAGACATAGAAAAGGTGAGAACTGAGCCCTCTTTTCCACGGCATCCCCTTCCCCAGCAGCCCTGCATCCCACAGGAATTGTGCTGATGGAGGAAAATGGGAGAGGAGGGGGATCCACAAAACCCAGGCTCACAAGCACGAATGTGCAGCCAAAACCAGCATTTTAATTTTTTTTTTTTATTGCTGCAGATTAGGCTGAACACCCTCCTGCTGTGTCCCCCCTATCCTGGGGTGAGAATCTCCCACTCCTGGCTCAGCCAGACCGGGTTTGCTGATAAGAGCCCCGTTTGCAGATAGCTCTTATCACTCTGATTGCCACGGAATAATTCCTTTATTCGGAGTGCTGAAGCTGTGCTGACTTGCCATTGAAGCTAATTGGATTAAAAGTAACGCGCTGCTGCCTAAATTTGCGGGGTTTTAATTGGTTTTGATGAATTATTGTGGCGTCTTTCTTTTAAAAATAAATAAAAGCGAGGCAGTGGAGTCGTGGATGGAGCCTGGAGGTGGTTCCTGCTCCCAGGAGGAAGAGCAATAATGAAAATCAAGCTGCCATTTCTAATCACCCTGATGCTTTTGTTTCCTCCCCTTTTTGCCATTCTTTCCCTCTGTCTGCTCAAAGTTCCCCCGAAGAAGCTGTGGGCAAAAACACTTCCCATTTTCCAGGAAGATGTCCCAATATATTTGTCATTTATGTTTCCAAGGAATCCCTGTTCCTTGGAAACAGCCACAGCCCTCTGGCTCAGTGGAAAGGAAGAGTTAAATTATTGCTTTCATATCAATTAAAGCTTTGCAGGTCCTGGTGGTGTTCTGGGTGGAAGTTCCCCTCTTGGCTGTGTTGTATTTGGGGTTTTTTGGAGTCCCAAGTCACGTAGATGTTCCATTAATATGTATTTGTTCAGAAAGGCATTGCCCATGTAATCACATCATTGCTGCCTTCTCAAGGGCAAAATTCCAGGGAGATAAAGAGCTGGGAAGATGCTTCAGTGCAGCCAAGGACTGCAGCTGAGTGCATTTCACCCCCCTGCCACAGCTTTAGCAGGGAAGGGGGCTGTGGGCACCCATGGGTGGGGGTCTTGCACATTCCCACCCCTGGGAGTGCAGTGGGAACTCAGGGATGATGCATTTATGAAATTCCTGCCTCCCACTTCTATCCCTGGGCATCCTCTGCCTCTGCAAGTGCTTAAATTCATTGAAACGTGCCCAGGTAAACTCAGCTGGTGCAGCAGAAAATACAAATCCCTCGCTCAGCCTCGTTCTCTCAGTTCCTCAATCCCTTTTCCATTTCCCTCTTGCAGAACTACATGAACCCCCTGAGGCTGGTACTGACTCCCCAAGACATGGAAGCTATTTTTATCAATTTGGAGGTAACATCGTGGGCATTGTGCCTTTAATCTTTGTTCTTTCCACAGCAGCTCAGCCCTCTGCCTGCTTAGGAGGAGTTTTTTCTGATTTCCTGTTAGATTTGTGCATTCACTTGGAGAGCTTCAGCCTTTCGTGTGCTGTGGAGCTTAAACTGGTTTAGGAGACATTTTTTAACACTCCATTTTAGGGGTGGGGAATGTATGAACTCTAGGTAAGAAAACAATTCTATCTAGTGGATGTTTCAGGGCTGAGGCTCTGGATTTTAGTTGATTTAGGTGATTTGGGCAGAGGGTGATGAAGGGATTTATTCCTACTCTGGTTTGCACAGGGTCTGGGTCAAAACCTGTCATCTCCTCCACTCCTTCCATCCCATCCCCTCCTCCCTTCCCATGCTGGGACATTTCTCACTGTGTAACCTCAGATGGAATTACACCCCAGTCCTCCAGGCCAGTCAGGGCTGCTTCCCACTAGAACAACTTTCTTTACAAACACCTGAAAGAGAGGAAAACCCTGCCTGATAAAGGAGTAAATGTGAATTTCTTTAGGCTCTGTTTGCCCACCTGCTTTTGCTGTGTTTAAAGTATTGACTGTTGCTTGGTTTTAGGACCTAATTAAAGTGCACTTCAGTTTCCTGAGAGCCATTGATGTCTCGATGATGTCTGGAGGAAGCAGCCTGGCAAAAGTGTTCCTGGAATTCAAGGAGAGGTAAAGGAATTCCGGGCTTCAGGCAGCTCCAGTTTTAACAGATTTGGGTTGATATTTTCAGAGATTTAAAGGGAGTTTTTGTTACTCTCTGCCTTCTCCCTCTCTTACTGCCTGAAAGGAGGTTGGAGCCAGGTGGGGATCTGTCTTTTCTCCCAAGTAACAACAGGACAAGAGGAAACGGCCTCAAGTTCCACCAGGGGAGGTTTAGAATGGGTGTTAGTGAAAATTTCTTCTCTGGAAGGGTTGTAAAGCACTGGAACAGGCTGCCCAGGGAAGTGGTGGGGTCACAATCCCTGGAAGTGTCCCAAAATTGTGTGGCTGTGGTGCTTAGGGACGTGTGTTAGTGGCAGTGCTGGGTTAGTGGTTGGGCTCAGGTAATTCTGTGATTCCAGAAATGCCTTTCCCAGCAGCCCAGGTTTGCATCCTGCACAGTAAAATGCTCTCAGGCAGCTGAAACATCACTCAGTGCTGACATTGAGCAGCCAAATCCAGCCACAAGTGTCAGGTCATCCAGGGCAGAGGCTGGGACATCTCCCCTGCCCATTCTCAGCCCTGTGGCTCCTTTGGATCCTTTACCCCTGGATTTTTTCTTGAGCTCAGCATCCCGTAGGAGACTGAATTTCCAGTGTGTTTGTGGGGACACATCTGAGGGGATAAAGATGGGAATTCCTGGCTTGTGGTGAGCTGGAATGGAGCAGAACCCTGCTGGCCTTCAGGGGTTTTGTGTGCTCCCCTGCAAGCAGCACAGGGCTGGGATGTGCTGGGGTCACTCCTGTGCAGGGGAGATCTCCTTACATCAAAGGGGTTCCTCACTCTCAAAGAATCTCATTTTTGGCACAGAGCTCATCCTGCTCCCTTTGCACCATGAATAAATGTAGGAATTTCTTTCACAAGCAGAATCAATCCTGAGTTCTGGCAGCTGCAAGCAGGAGCACCCCAGCACACAGAGATAAGGTTGATAAAAGCCTTTAATATCCTTAATACTAATCAAAGGGTGATTCACTGTGGAATGGTGCCAGGCTGTTATTTCACTGTGATTAAACCAGTGTCTAGACACAGAAATGCCATTCAGAAGTCAATAACTCCAGAAATACCATCTGCATTAATAACACACCGTGAGGTCACATCTTCCATCATTCGTGGGGCCCCTTGTTATGAAGGGCATTTTTTTTCTGGATTAAATTTTTAAAAAATATTTCAAAGAAGAATGCAAATAATTTCAGAATACTCAAAAAAACTCGCTTAGGTGATTTTGATCTGCTAATTCCTGGCTCAGCTCCATGCATGCCAGTGCCACCCCTGGGGCAGAGCTGTGGACACAGGGAGCAGGGAAGGGGCACAGGAGGAGTTGTGGTGGTGGCACTGCTGCCCAAAGAGATGCCGTGGCTGTGCAGGAGCACGAGGCTTGGTTTTGAACCATTAAATCAATATTTTCTTCTCTTAATGTGCTGTTGGGAGGTGGCAGAATGCTTGGAGCTGGTGAGTTCCATGGCAGATGGGTGAACCAACTTACCCCCCTTTCCTAAGGGAGCTTGCAAAAAACTTCCTGAAGGACCTGGAAGCCTTGGAAAGATGTGAGGGAAGGAGCCAAACCAGCTGTGACATGGTGATGGTGGATCTGAAGTTTTCTTCAGTCCTTGGAGATTTTGGGGACATCAGTGCTGTGGGAAACTGCTGGTCAAGGGGAGGTTTTCCCTTGGAGAAGTCCCTAAACCCAGATTGTTAGAGATGAAGGGTTTGGAGCAGCCTGATGTAAAAAGGCAGAGCCCTTTCCTGCATCAGGAAAGTCAGGAATTTTACAGGAAGGGAATTTCAGTGCAGGAGGAGGAGAAAGTGAACTCGCTGTGGGGAGAGAGTGTTGTGACACCAAGAAAGGATCAAGGACCTCCAGAGTCCCCACTTGGTCCCTGAATATGAGACTTTCCTCCATCAAATCTGTCCTTGACAAATAACTCCTGCTCCCCTCCACATCCTTGGAGACATTCTGGCAAAATGATGCATTGCTCCTTGGCTTTGCAGGGGCCTTTTTTAAGGAAATAGTTTGTAAATCTCATTCTCTGGAAGCCAGAGGTTTGAATTTATGCTCCTGAAGCCTCTTTGAAGCTCTCCCCGTGCTGGCAAGGTAGATATCATTGTGCCTGTGTAGAAGTTGTCAGGGGGGAAAGGTAGAAGAATAATCTCTACTGGCTGTGGCTGTGGCTCCATAAATCTCTTTATTCACTTCCCTGCAGGGTGTGAGTGTCCCGTGTTTATGGAGCAACGCTGGGTCAGTGCTTCCCAGGCCATCTCCATCGAGAGATGAGGCCCCCAAATAATGGATGAGTTGCAGTTTGTGATGGAAGATGTGTCTTAGCAGCAGCAGGACAGTTAACAGCCAGGAAGGGGGAGAAAACCCAAACCTGTCAGGCAGGATTAATGAGGGAAGTGAGGGAAAAGGGGGAATCCACTGACAAAACTGCTCTCTTTTGTCAGCGTTTAAATTTATAGCCCAGGGTGTCCATACAGAGCTTCACTGTATTTCCAAAGGCTGTGACAATCTTCTTTTCCCAATTACCCAGGCTCTTGATCTCGAGGTCCCTGTGGCTCTGTCAAGAAGGAATGATTCTAAAATGTGACACAGAATCATCCTAGAATCACTGGATGGTTTGGGTTAAAATTCATCCCATTTCACCCCCTGCCATGTGCAGGGACACCTTCCACTATCCCAGGGTGCTCCAAGCCCCATCCAACCTGGCCTTGGACACTTTCAGGGGTCAGCCACAAATTCTCTGGGCAGCTTTTGACAGTTCCTCACCACCCTCACAAGGAAGAATTTCATTTATCTCATCTAACTCTCCAAAAACAGGTTCCTCTGCTCTGGCCACCCAGCCCCTTCTGCTCATCATGAGCTGAATCACCTCCATGGGCTCTGGAAACTTCTAAATGTTCAAACGTTGAAGATCTAAATGTCAAAAAGCCACACAATAAAAGAGTGTTGATACTTTGCTAAGCAGTTAAATGGGGGAATAGCTGTTTGCCTCGTCCTTTTGCCATACAAACATTTATTTATCTTTTATAACAGCTTATAACTGCCAGCAGTGCCTGTCTAATCTGTGATTTTCCCCTCTCCAGGCTGCTGATTTATGGCAAGTACTGCAGCCACATGGAATATGCCCAGAACACCCTGAACCACCTCCTTGCCAACCGGGAGGACGTCAGGCAGAAGGTGGAGGTGAGCGGGCAGGGGCTGAGTGCCACCCCCCACCCTTGTCACAGCTTGGGAAGGACTTGCTGGAGCTCAGAATGGTCTCTGGGGAATGTTTGATTTACCAGAAGAGAAGAAAGGAGTGAGAGTGTGTCTGTGCTGCCACAGAGGGAGCAGAGCTGGGGGTTATCCTGTCCTGATCCCTCGTTTTTCCTTTATCTCCTCACCAGACCCACGCTCTGTCCTTCCTCCCCAGGTTTATCCAAGTTAAAACAAACCAGTGACTTTGAGTGAGACCGGCTGGGACAAGTTCTTTGAGTTGTGCATCCCCAAACCAGGAGCTGAATGGTTTTCCAAAGCCACCAGCAGCATCAGGGACTGGCAGAGGCAAACCCAAATCCCCAGGCAAACGCCAGAATTCCTGCCCTGACCTCCTTAGCGTGAATAGGGGCTGATGCAGATATTAAGGAATCAAAGGAGCCCCAGAAGGGATGCACTGTTTGAGCTGCTGTTTTACCCAGCTCTAATTCCTGCTTTGCTCTCGATGCTAATCGCAATTTGCTGGGCTGTCTGTACACGTTACCTCGCCCTCCACAAACGTGCTTTGATTCCCTGGGTGAGCCCAATTCAGGGATAAAACTGCATTTAGGAATTGCTTAAAATGTGCTCTCTGTGTCTCACATCAAGGCTGGAGCGTCCAGCTGCTTTTGCTGTCTCTCCCTCTGTCAGGTCACACAAGGGAGCTCAGCCAGCAGAGTCACATCCCTGAAATGAGTCTGGGCGAGGTGGCAAAACTTCCTGCGACCACAATTAGCTCATCTTAATGACTTAATGCTCATCAGTGACTCCAGAGCCACAGGCTGCATGCTCAGTGCCAGCCCCTCACAAATCAGCTGCATCAGCTTGGCCCAGCCAGGAGGTGGCTGAGGAAAATGGGTTTCATTTGACATTTCCCCAGGTCTGAGAGCATTCCTGCACTGCCCTAACGAGCAGCATCTCATTAGGCTGGAGTAGCTCACTTGTGGCTGTAATTTAGGGATTAATTCCTTGATAACCTCTGTGGTGGGAGCCCAGCCCTGGCTGGGTGGTTGCAAGGACCACAAGTCTGTGGGCATCAGAACTCAGTTTACAGAAGCCAAACAAACATTCTCAAGACTTTAGAGGCTTCTTTTAGGTGGGAAGCTGTTGTTTTCTCACTGCTGATTTACTGATCTCCTTCCTAGGAATGCACACTAAAGGTCCAGGATGGGAAATTCAAATTGCAAGATCTGCTGGTGGTTCCAATGCAAAGAGTTTTGAAGTATCATCTCCTGTTAAAAGTAAGTTTTTCAGCACTGGCCTTTCTCTCTCTGCTGTAGCATCTTTTCACCTCTGTCAGTGGAGGGTGAATCATTGCCAAATGCAGAGCAAGGGTTGGGATTTTTATTCCTCTTCAAATAAAATAATTACTAGAGCTACTTAACACAACGTAGTATTTGTGCTGTCTCCTAAAGTACAGTGACCCAGGGTAATTCTGCACTTGCTAGCCACGAGAGGCACTTAATGAATATAAAATAAGCTTGCATATAATCTGATTATGTGTGAAATTCCTCCCGTCAACTCCGTGTAACAGATCTCTCAAGCACCAGCCCTTGGTGTGTTCCCTGTCCTGCAGCCACAGCTGCCTGCCCGGGCATCCCTGCATCCCTGGCAGCTCCCTGGCATCCCTGCTGTCACCCAGGCATCCCTGCCACCTCTCTCCATCCCTGCCACCTCTCTCCATCCCTGCTGTGACCCAGACATTCCTGCTGTCACCCTTGGGATGCCTGCAACCCCCCCCCGACATCTCTGTCATCACACTCAGGCAGACCCTGTCCAGTGCCAGCAGGGTCTGGGCATCTTTCTTAGCACATCCAAACTCCTTTTATTCATTTCTGCTTTCTCAGGAGCTGCTCAGCCACTCCTCAGACCGGCCAGAGAAGCAGCAGCTGAAGGAGGCTCTGGAGGCCATGCAGGTACAGGAGGGTGAGAGTGGGGAGGGGGCTGTGCTGGGTTTGGGGTGCAGCAGAGCTCAGGACCCCTGTGCTGTGTGAAACAAAAATTTGGATGGAAGAACAGCTGGAGGGAAGGCAAGGTGTGCTCCTTTTGGCCACATCTCTGTGGTGTGGTGGCCTCACAGCACATCCCCTGTCCCCTCTGAGGCAGCGGAGGGAGCTGGGCTTTGTTGACAAGTTAGGACATTTCCCTGATTGCTGCTGTGTGTGCAGAGCCCGTGCCAGATCCGGCTTTTGTTTTTGCTGGGAGGGATTTGGAGGAGCTCCAGAGGTATCAGCAAGTCAGGGAGTATGGCAGTGATGGGAGCCTGTGTGTGTGGAGTGTTCCCTGTGTGCTGTTAGCCAGGTGCTGGGTGGGAATCCTTTAATCCACACTTTTTTATTTTATTTTGTTAAAGGGAAGATGTGTTTTCAACAATTGATGACTTTTGGCATCAACAGTTTGCTTTGCTTGAAGTTAGTTTTATTTCCAGCTTTTAGCTGGAGCCCCCAGAATCTCAGGAAAACCATCAGCAGCAAAAAAAATCAAATTGTAGTATCATCCAAATGTTTTCTGACTGGGATATGTCTCCCCACACACACATTCACACCACATCCATTGTCAGCAGAACTGACTGGAGGATGCTCATTAAATCCAGGTTTTTCCCCCTGGAGAGCACCTCAGGATTCACCCCTGTGCTTGTGGTCACTTCATTTTCCAGCTTTTGTAACGTGGCTGCATTTCCTGGCACTTACATAATTTGGGTGACCTTTCCAGCCGTTATCCCTGGCAGCCCAGGGATGCAGAGCTGCTCTGTGGCTCTCTGTTTGTTTGAGGTTGTTTGAAGGACGTTGCATTCCCAGCCTGCTGCTGTGGCCTCAGATGAACGCTGGACCTGGTGACAGCAGCTAAAACCCCGCTCGTGGCCTCATCACCCAGCACCACTGCTGCAAAATAAATCTGTGTTTGCTCTGGCTCTGCTGCAGACTCAGCATTTGTTGCAGGAAGACGTTGATAACCATCAGGGAGGTTTCTTTCTTCTCCTCCCCATCACCAGGAGAGTGTGGGAGCAGTTCAGACCACGCTGGGCTCGGGGGGCTTGGGGAGCCATTCACTATGGTTTTAATTGATCTGTAAACCAAGGCTTAACTTCCAAGTGATGTCTTTCATCACAAGTCCAGCCTTTCTGTCTGCTGTGCTGGCAGGCAGCAGATATTGCTGTGCAGGGGGGTGGATGGAGGGACATTCCCAAAGGGATTCAGCTCCCTTTTATTTTGTTTGAATTGTTGGTTTTGCAAAGAAAAGGCAGGATTTGCACCAAAAAAAAAAAAAAATTTGTGGTGGTTTTTTTTGTTTTTTGGTGCAGGTACCAACCCTCTGCCTGAGAATGCAGAACTGAGTTCCCAGTGGTGTGGGGGAAAGGCAGCTCCCAGTGAAATTCCACAGCCAATATCTGCACGTTGTTGTTTCAAGTCCTGGTTGATCCTGGGATTGTGCTTCCCCGGGATTGTGTGTCCCTGCTTCAGAAAGCTTTTTGGTTGTGTCATTTCTCATCACCATCCCTGGCTGGGTGACGCTACAAATATTGTCACACAGATCTGTGATCATGGGCTGTGATTAACCCTTCTTGTGCTGGGGAGCTGAGCGAGGTCTGACCCGGGGGGGATGTCTTAAAAAATCCCCTGCTCAGATTTAATCCAAGTTGACAAGAGCTGTTGCTGAGGTCAAGGAGGGAGCAGATAAGAAGCAAACAGGCACAGCAAATGTGCTCTGAAAGGTGCAAGAAGTTGTTCCAGTGGAAGGGATGGTTCCTTGTCTTTGATGGATAAAAATTTGGGGTTTGGGATCACTGTGCTGTGATGGATTCATGCATTGCCATCTTCTGGGAAATGGAAAACATTGCAGCACCTCAGCACTGGGAGCACCAACAGCCTCACCTGTCCCGGGCTGCAGTGGAGACCTGCTCAGATTCCTGAAGGATTCAGGGAGCCAGGCTCGTGTTTGTTCTCCTGGGTAAGGTGCTGGTAAAGTAAAAATCACTGTTCACCATTTTTTTTTTAAGGACTTGGCCATGTACATCAACGAAGTCAAGAGGGACAAAGAGACTTTGAAGAAAATCAGTGAATTTCAGAGCTCTATAGAAAACCTGGTAAGTTGGAAAACCTTCTTGAACCCAGTTTAATTTGATTATTCTTAACACATTTGCTTTTTTGGGCAATCACTACTTATTCTGATGTGCTGAAAGATGCCCAGGTGCTCAGACTCTCATGTTTTGCTGATGGTCCAGAGGTGGATGCTCTATCACAAAACTGCTTTGGCTGGGATGGAGAGTGGCTTCTCTTGTTGGTGTTACCCTAAAAATGTTTCTTCAGCTTTTTCTCACATTATTAGTGTAGGGAGGACCCAAAAATTCCCCAAGCTGGTATCTGGCTTTTACTTAAAAAGAGGAAAAGAGGGTTTCTTTTGCTGTTGAGTGGACAGAGGTTAACTGAAAGGGGAGGAGAAGGAAGGGCTCATGTAAAAAGGCATCAAATCCCCCAAAATTTCAACCAGGTATTTTAAGAATTCATCCTCCAAACTCCAGAGGTGTCAAACACTCAGCCCCATTGCTGGGGTTGAGACCTGGGTTTGGGGTGCTGGGTTTGGGGGCTTTAGCCTTGACTTCATTTGGAAACGATGAACTTTGAATTAATGGTTATTTAACAGAGACAAAATCCTTAATTATTGTGGAAACCTTTGAAAAAAAAAGCTCATTGGAGGTGGGGAGGGGTTTGCAAAAATGCTTTAACTGCTGAGCCTTGCCCTGGGGGTGCCAGTGCTGGAGCTCCAGGGATTTCCTGGAGTTGATGCCAGGCTCCCCTTGGTGAGGGTGGTGCTGCTCCCTTGGAGCTTTGGCAGCCTCAGGCAGGGCTGGGGAGGTGCAATCCACACAGCTTTGGGTTTCCAGCTGCCCAAAGCATCGTTGCAGGCCTGGCTGTGGAGCTGAGCCCTGCTTTGCTTCCTGCAGCAAGTGAAGCTGGAGGAGTTTGGGAGGCCAAAGATCGACGGCGAGCTCAAGGTGCGCTCCATAGTGAACCACACCAAGCAGGACAGGTGAGTGTCCCCAAACCCTCATAACCATTCCCCTTGAGCTCATTTATTTAATTTCTGCCTGGAATTTCACTGACATAACCCAGCATCCATGTGAAATCACAGCAGGGCACCAGCACTGAACAGAGCTGGCTGGGGAGCTCCTCAGAGCTTCCCAAATCCTTCCCCTTGGATTTTTTTAATGGTGTGTTTGCTTGTTTATTTGCTTGCTTTGGGCAGGTATTTATTTTTATTTGATAAAGTGGTGATCGTCTGCAAGAGGAAAGGATACAATTATGAGCTGAAGGAAATTATTGAGCTGCTCTTCCACAAGATGACTGATGACCCCATGAATAACAAGGACATTAAGAAGGTAGGTGGACCAAGGATTGGCTCTGGAGAGCATTTTGGAGTTGTTTCAGGGTAGTATGTTCTCATTAGCCTTTTAGAATAGAAAAAACTGGAAAATAAATGCTCAACTTTCAAGGCAGCCTTAAATAGCATTGGGAAATGTTTATTAATGTGGGGCTGGGCTGGATCCTTGACCCGTGTCCTGGCAGAACAGCCCTGAGGAGGCTGGGATGGTTGGAGTTAGGAGGGAGGAAGCTGCTCTCTGCTTTCTGGCCCAGTGTCAGGGAGCAAACATCAGATGGGCAGGAGAGGAGGGCAGGGAGGGAGGGAAGGAAGGTGCAGGATGTTCTTTCTCCCACAAGCTGCAGGGTGGAGGAGCCTGGAAAGGCAGCTTTGCACACCAGGCTGCCAAAATTGGCACTTGAAGCACTGAAGGAACATCATTTTCCTGTGGTTTGATGCTCACTCTGCAGCCATGGAGGAAAAACCTCCCAGCCCTTGCTTTAGCCCTGTTAGCTTAACCCACTTCCCTATCATGGGAAGAGCTATGGGATAAGGGACACTGGGGTAAGAACAGCCAATTTTGCCACTTGGCTGCTGGGGGAACGCTGCTGGCTTTGTGTTTTAATGAAATCTATTTCCCCTTTGCTCTCCTATGCTTTCTAGTCCCACGGAAAAATGGTAAGCAGAGCACCCCCGTGGCTGTGGCGTGTTTGTGTGCAGTGTGGTGGGGAGACAGGCTGAGCAGATGTGCACTGGGCAGGTCACACGCTCCTCCTGGGCTGTCACTTGCTGTCAGCCACAGACAGAATGGCTGGGGAGGATCCAGTGGAGCAGAAGAATCTGGGTTCTCTCGTTTGCCACCATGAAATCCTGCTTGCTCCAAGTGCACAGCGCCAGGGCGGTTCAGGCATCGTTAACTGGGATGTGTTAGAGAAACAGGGAGCTCTCCTTCCTCCTCCCCTGCTGTTCCCTGGCTGTGGTTCAGCAGGAGGGGCAGGGACAGGCACTCAGAGCAGTGGCTGAGGTGTGGGAATGGCAGTGTGGTGTGGTTCCCTGTGACATCAGCTCTTTTTTCTCCTGCAGTGGTCGTATGGCTTCTACCTGATCCACCTGCAGGGGAAACAGGGCTTCCAGTTCTTCTGCAAGACAGAGGAGATGAAGAGGAAGTGGATGGAGCAGTTTGAAATGGCCATGTGAGCATGAGTGGCTGCTCTAGCCCCGGGTGCACTTACCAGGCAGAGGGGAAAAGTGTCTTGGGCCATCAGGTCACTGCAGAGCAGCTCTGACAGCAAAACCTGTGATGGGGAAGCTGCTGTGGCTTGGTGGATGAGTCCCTGTGCAAAGGGAGCTTGGAACTCTGAGCATCCCCACCATCCCATCTCTGAAACTGGATTTTATCTCTCAAACTGAGATGGGATATTTGGAAAGAATTCTTCCCTGGCACAGGGTGCCCAGAGAAGCTGTGGCTGCCCCTGGGAGTGTCTAAGGCCAGGCTGGACAGGGCTTGGGGCAGCCTGGGATGGTGGAAGGTGTCCCTGCCCATGGCAGGGGGTGGGATGGGATGATTTGAAATGTCCCTTCCAACCCAAGCCTTTCTGTGAGTCTCTGAAAGGACACCTCACCGTGGTGCTGGAGGATGAGGAGGGAGGGTGGTGCTGCAGAACCTGGTCCTGAGCAGAGCAGGGCTTGGGCTGATGATTGACTCAGGCCAAATCCATGACTTTTGTCCCAGGGGAAGGTAATGGGAAAAATCCTCTCTCCACAACTGATCTCCTTTCACGTTGCATTTCACGTGGTGTCCAAGCTCAGACTGAAATGCCAGCATGGGGACAGGCTGATAACCCCCAGGTCCTTTCCCTCAGGTCCAACATAAAGCCAGAGAAAGCCAATGCAAATCACCACAACTTCCAGATGTACACATTTGAGAAGACAACCAACTGCAAAGCCTGCAGGATGTTCCTGAGGTGAGCAACACCTGAGCTGTTCTGCATTAAAACATGGAAAGAAAAATCTCAAAGCTGAGGCTGGATTAGGATTTTCTGACTTTTTTTTTTCTTTTTTTTTTGGCACAGAGGAACCTTCTACCAAGGCTACCTTTGTCCCAAATGTGGAGCAGGTGCTCACAAGGAGTGCTTGGAGATTATTCCTCCCTGCAAGATGGGTGAGTTATTTCATGAGCAGCTCGTTGCTGCACGTGAATGATCTGAGAAATTCACTCTGTAAAGCACTGATGTTTGTTAATGCATTAAAAAATACCAGGGCTGTAATTCACGTTGGCTGGTGGTTTAAAATACAAACAAAGCAGCCAAAATTCTCATGGACAAAGAGCTGCATCCCAAGGATGGCAGAGAATCACAGCAGATGTGTGCAGTGGATGGGATGCTCTGGCTCTTGTGGGTGGGCATTTAAGAGAGGTGATCAGTTCCCCATGATTTAACAGTGAAATCAGGATGGTCTGCAGCAGGGAGAACGTTTCTGATGAGGAGAGAGTTCCTCTCTGGACCCCAAATGTCCCAAAGTACTGCAAAAATTTGTGTCCATGGTCTGAACTGTGCAAAGCTAGGACTCACCTGTGCTCAACCCAGGGGGTGTCACAGGGTGGCTTTGGAGAGGTTTTGGGTGAGGAGTGGAGGGAGGGAGAAATAAAATTGCAGAACTTTGTGGCAGTGAGGAAATGCCCCTGAGGCTGCAGTCCCTGCCCAGATCTTGCCCTCCCAGAGCAGGGAAGTGACTCAAGTGTCCCCACCTCTGCTTTGGGATTCCTGCATCAACTTCTCACCCTGCTGCTGGTTTGTTGATACTCAGAGCATCAAGAGAAGCAGGAAATGGCGTTTGTTACCTGTTGAATTAATCCCTTATCCCATCATTTCTCTTGCAGGTTCTTCAGCAGACCAGGTACGTGGTTTGGCCCTTTTCCTCACCCTCCTGTCCTTGCCCAGTCTGGGTGTGGGCAGCTCATGGGAAGAGCCAGCACTGGGCTCAGAGGTGTCCCAGCAACCTGTGGGACAGGGCTGGGGACCAGTGACCTCCTCTCCTCCTAAAACTGGCCCAGTTTAAGCAGCAGCAGAACCCTCGGGTGGTGCCAGCACCCAGCTGGGGCGAGCACCATGGGCTGGGGGGTACCAGGGAGATTTGGGGAGAGGTTTCCTCATCCCAGTGGCATCAGGTGGGTGCTCATAGGGTGACCTGAGGCTGATGTGTCCTTACTGAGCTTTTTTCCTCTTTCTTTGCAGGATTCCCTGGGTGCAGGACCTGGTAAGGGCATTGCTGTGTGACAGGAGGGCAGGGAGAGGTTGTGGCTGCAGGAGTCCCCAACAGTGGGTGGGTGGGAGGGGGAGGCTCCTTCCAAAAGCAGGAAACAGCTTTAGTTCCTGCAGAAGGGTCCTGTGCACCTTCCTGGCCAGCAATGGGGCCCTGGGGTCTGTCCTGTCCCTGCTGCCACATCATTTCTTTGGGTGCCCTGGTGCCCCTGGCCAGCCCTGCTGGGCCAGTAAAGCTTCTGCCCATGCCACCAGTGACCAAGGAGAGCCTGGCACAACTTCCTTGTGCCAAACCAGCCCTCAGGGCAGACCAGGCATGTTCTGGCAGGGAGATTTGTTGCTGGTGGGGAGCATCTCCCTGCTGGCATGTCCAGTGTGCTCTCATGGGCTGTCAGTCACGAAGGTTACTGCAATAACTTTTATCTTTCTGTGTTTAAAACTTGCCTGGACAGAGGTCTGGGCCTGCCCTGCCCCTGCTCTGGCTCAAAGGGGAAGAACAATTTGTTTTTGTGCTATTTCTGATGGAAGGAAAGCCAAGCCTGGCAAAAAAGAAACCTGAATCAAATTTGTGGTTAAAAAAAAAAAACAAAACACCAACAAAACAAGCACAGAGTGCTCATGCTGGGAGGGGAGAGGCAGAGGTGGGGAGGCATTTTGAGGATAAACACTGCGGGTTTGGTGCAGTGGGGGAAGTTTATTTAATGTGCAGTTGTTGGCCAGACAAGTGGACTTTGACTGGGAGCTTCAGGGGCGTTGGGGTCCCAGGTCCAGCTGCTGTTCAGTGCAGCTCAGTGTCCACTGGTCCCTTTTGCAATTGTGGTGTCACTGCTGAGCCTGGCAGGGCTTGGTGCTGGCAGCAGCTCCTGTGCCTTGGTGAGGCTCAAACCCAGGTGCAGGGCTGGGAGCTGGAGCTTCAGCTTGGCTGGGTCCTTCCTGGGTTTATTTTTGCTCAGGGAGCTCAGTCATGCATGTAAGTGCAGGAGCCAAGAACGTTCACTGTGGACACCATTCCTTTCTGCTTTCATGTTTCCTGCCCCTAAATCCTGCCTGCTGTGCTGTGTCAGGGGATGAGGAGGGACAGGCTTCAGGAGGGGTGGGTTTGTTTGGGTTTTTGGTTTTTTTTTTTTTTTTTTCCAGCAGGGACAAGGTTGTGAAACTGTTCTGCTTCTCTGCCAGGTCCTAAAATGGTGGCAGTTCAAAATTACCATGGAACCCCAGCCCCTCCTGGGAAGCCAGTGCTGACCTTTCAAATTGGGGATGTGATCGAGCTGCTGAGGGGGGACCCCGACTCACCGTGGTGGGAGGTGAGAGTCATTCCTCTTGGGAATCTCCTGGAAACTTCTAAACCAGTGGCTTCTGTGTTATCTGTTTTATTTGTGGGCTTTCCTGGGGGGGTGTGCTGGGGTTGGGAGGCAATTGGGGCCTGTCCCCACCCCTGCACAGTGCCACCAGTGCTCCCAGTGCACGCCCCAGCCTGATGCCCAGCTTGGCTTTGCAGGGGAGGCTGCTGCAGACGAAGAAATCGGGTTATTTCCCCAGCTCCTCAGTGAAACCCTGCCCCGTGGATGCCAGGGTAAGTACCAGGGAGGAGAGGGAGCTGGGAGTGCCAGGTGGGTGCAGGTGTTGGGATTATCCCTGTCACTCTTCTCAGCCTTCTCCTCGAGGCTTCAGTCCTTCCCTGGACCTTCAGTGAGGTCTCTGGCTCACAGGGGAGCTGGATCTCCCATCCCATAGTTGCAGGTGTCAGGACAGGGGAGTCCCAGCCCTGTTCCCCAGGCTGGGGTTGGCAAGATCAGATCAGCTCTGTTCCCTCTCTGCAGGGCTGACTCGGGAGCAGTGCTGGAGATCGGGCCCAGTGCAGGAAAACTGCATTTGGTTTGTTTTAATTGCTTTTAGCTGCTTGCTGTAATGTTGTCAGCTGCTTCCCAATTAAAAACCACTCAGGTAAATGAACAAACACAGCCTGCTCAGCCCAGCTGGGAGCTCAGAGATGCTCAGCTACAACACTGCCCTCCTCTGCCCGAGCCCAGAATCCAGGGATGGCTTGGCAGAGGGAAGCTTCCCGTGGAGAGCAGCATCCCACACGTGATGCACGGCCTGAGGAGCTGCTGGCTCTTCACTAATTCACAATTCTCCATTTGCAGCCCCCCAACAGCCGGCCGCCCTCTCGGGAGATCGACTACACGGCGTACCCGTGGTGAGTGGGCATAAACCCACCCTGCAGATAAAGAACATAAACCAGCCTTGCCTTTTGGCTGCTGCTTGCTCAGAAATCCACCCCGGGAAGGAATTCCCAAAGCAGACCTGCTTTTTCTGTGGCCACGGAGCAGCTGCCACGGTGGTGAAAGCCCTGGCAGCAACTGTGGGGATTTCTTCACTGATGGAGGGGGTCAGAGGCAAAAAGAGAGATGCTGGTTTCTCTTCCCATTTGCTGTGCCCAGAAAATAATTGTGGTAGGAAGGAGGCAACTCCTGCCTTGGCAGGAGAGGCTGTGCTTGGCTTGCCTGCTGCTCCTTCTCTCCAACTCCAGCCAGGTTTATGAATTCATGGATATAAATCATCCCTGCTTTCCAGCTCTTGCTGAGGCCTCATTAACCTGGAGACTGATTCCCAATTAGTGGGTTTTTCCAGGTGTCAGGTACTTCAAAGGGAAGAGGCCACACTCTGTGTGGTTCAGTGGCTCAGCAGCTTCTCGTGTATCCCAGGGCACTTTCCTTCCTGCTCAGGATATTTCGGATGTTTCTCCACCTGCCTTCCAACCTTCACGCCTTTAAAAAAAGATGTCTCTTCTTACCCAAAACATGCCTGCTTAAAGATACGTGTTCATTTTAATGAATGAAATGAACTAATTAACCTCTGGGCTCAGGTTTGCAGGGAACATGGAGAGGCATCAGACAGACAACCTGCTCAAATCTCACGTCAGCGGCACCTACCTGATCCGGGAGCGGCCAGCTGAGGCCGAGCGCTTTGCCATCAGTATTAAGTGAGTAATTCCCCATCTAGGAACTTCATCATCCAATATTTCTCACTCCCAGAGGAGGAGGCAGGGCTGGAGCTGGTGGCTGTGGGGTTTTTTTTTTGAGTGCCTTTGCTGTCGTTGGAAGGTTCAACGAGGAGGTGAAGCACATCAAGGTGGTGGAGAAGGATAACTGGATTCACATCACAGAAGCCAAGAAGTTCGAAAGCTTGCTGGTGAGTTTTCGTTCCCCCTTGTAGCACTGTCCCTGCAAGTCATGTAGGGGGTGGCAGAGGCAGCCAGGTGCCTCTCCTTCCTTCTTTTCTTCCTTCCCAGGAGCTGGTTGAGTACTACCAGAGCCATTCACTGAAGGAGAGCTTCAAGCAGCTGGACACAACCCTGAAATATCCCTACAAATCCCGGGAGCGCTCTACCTCCAGGACCTTCACCCGCTCCCCAGGTAAAACCCAGCCCAGGTGTCCTGGCAAACCTGCCCCTTCCTACAGAAAACCCTACCCACAGCTGTAGGAGCAGTGGATGGAGGAATTTACAGCTTCACTGCAGGGCTTGAGTTGCTCAGTTTGCAGATCAGTTCTTCTGGGCTGGTGGCATTTTCAGGATGGGTGTGGTGGGGTCAGGGGGGTCTGGCACTGCTGCTCTCTGAAGGGACAGTTTCTGCTGGTTCCCCTCCTGTGGTTTTTTTTTTTTCACCCTGTGCTTTGCCCACCCTCTGGCTGGGAGCAGGGATGTGATGTTTCACTTCCTGGGATTTGTCCTGTCTTTCCCACCCACGTGAGATTTTTGTGTTTTAATGGATCCGGTTCCAGTGTGACTTGTGGTGGTTTGAATCCCAGTGGGAGTCCTTTAGTGGAGGTGATGGTGAAAGGGTAAGTCTGTGTCTAGAAGGAAAGGAAGAATCGAAATAAATGGGAAGAAAAAGATGCAATAATGCAAGATGTTGTTTTGTCCAGTTTTGCAGAACTGACTTCTTTGTGGGGAAAAATCACTTTTAAATATTTTTCTCCATGATATATTTAGAAAAGAATACCAAGGGAATATAGGTTTTAAAAGCTGGTTAAATATCTTTTTGCATTAAATACAACCCTAGGATGAATTTTGAGCCCCCAATGGCTGTGGGGCTGTGGCCACACCTTTTCTCAGCTGTCACAGCTCCAAGCCCCTGCACAAGACCCTCTGCATGCTTTGCCCTGTATCCCTCCATCAGCTTTTAAAGCATTGTGCCTTATAATATTTTATTTTAATTTCCTTTTTAATGCGTGTTCTGCCTCTTTCTGTTTCTCTCTAACCTCTTTGCAGCCTCCTGCGCTTCCTACAACTTTTCTTTTCTCAGTCCTCAGGGCCTCAACTTTTCTTCTCAGAGCTCCTCCAGTCCCTTCTGGTCAGGTACCAGTGCCTCTCCCTGCTGGAGAGACCTGCCACCATCCCCAGCTTGAAAGCCATCACCAGTGGGACCTGTGGGGTCCCCCCTGTCCCTCCATCCCCACAGGCAGTTCAGGGGGTCCCCAGTGCTGCCCTGGGAAATAAGTTAATTAGGTTAATTAAACGTGGCTTGCTTGGCAGCAAAATGCACTCCCCCCTCTCCCCAAAATCAAGGCAGGGAGGAGATGGACTTGTTGCTGTTTGAGAAAAAGGGCCAAAATTAACAACAACAACCAAAAAAAGTGGATGTAGCACTTTGGGATCTCATGATGTACTTCAAGCTTGACCTGCTTATCCCGTGTGTGTCACCAGCATTGCACCCTGTCCCAGTCTCATCCTCCCTGTCCTCCAGGAGAACATCCCAGAGTCCTGCAGGGTTTGAGCTCTGCTGTCTGAGGCTGCTCAGGAGCCCCTTGCTGAGGGCACAGGGACACACCTGTGCTGTCAGGTGTGTTTTGGGGCTCAGTGTCCCTGCACAGAGTGCAGTGGTGCCCCAGCCTTTCCAGGCTGGTGTCATCCTCCCTCTCGATGGGATCAGAGCAAAATCCCGCCAGATTTTACTCCCAGTGAAGTTTTTATCTTTCAGTCTCTTCTTTAGGCTGGGCAGAGAAAATCCCCAGCAAAGCCACGTGTGCCTTCCTTGGTGCCATGTTTGGGAAGAACATTTAAATTTTCAAGCATAAATCTGGGATTTTAAGGTTCTCTAACTGCATAGAAAGTATTGCAGGAAGTGTTCTGTGTAGCAAGGGGCTCTCTGAGCAAGCTCCTGATGAAGGAGCTCAAAGCTGCCATGATTTCTGTCCATTCTCCAGCCTGGCTGCCTGGCCAGGATGGACAAACCCTCCAGTGGTTGCACATGGTGTGTCCAAACCATCTCCATCGCCATCCTCATCTCCTTCCACCCCAAGAGCTGAAAACCTGGGCAAAGCTTTCCCTCAAACTTCGTTCAACCTTGGTTTACACACTTTTCTAGTTGAAATTAACCCTTGGAAATCCTGGGAGAAAGAGGGGAGTGAAACACAACATCCCCTCAAGGTGTTTATTTCTTTTTTGCCAACTTCAGAGAAAGTGCATTTTTTTCTCCTCCTCTGCCCATCCTGTTCCTCCACTGTTGTTCTCCAGCCTTTTCCCTGTGCCCAGACCTTGGGGCAGGAATGCTGAGTGCTGCCCCTGCCTTTCCCCTCCTTGTGCTTCCCCCGAGCATCCCCTGCCTGAAGTGATGGAGATCCCTGGGGCTGTGCTGCTGGAGGTCAGCTCCTGGGCTGGCTCCCGGGGTCATCTCCTCATCCCAAGGTGCTGCTCAGTGTTAGGGTTTGGTCTCTAATGGGACCAAGTTCCCAAGGTTGCTCCCTGGCAGGGACAGGAGCAGGGAGGTCCCAGGTTAGGAGCTGGTTGCTCCTCATGGCAAGGCACACAGGATTGGCTCAACACCTCTAGGAGAATCCATTCCCAGTAACTCTGCTTTTGAAGTAGCTTAAATCCAAGTTGATTTACAAAGCCTTTTGACCAGGGGGTGCCATCAGGTGGGTGGCAGCTCCACAAAGCAAACTTCCAGACCTGAGACTGAGAGCTGAATGGGATTTTTCCATGATTTCTCCATTAATGGTTATGTATTCCTATGAAATCCTTTCTTTTACCACCTCACAAAAGTGCCCTTCACCCCAGTGATCCCCTGACCAGCAGAGAGTGGCTTCCCAAGCCCACAGAGCCCTTCAAAGCCCAGCAGGAACCCAGTTTAACCCCGACCACCCCACCCATGCAGGGCTGGCCAGCTCAGGCGATGCCACCCCTCCATCCCAGCGCCTCCAGCTCTCGGTGCCGTGGTGGAAAACCCAGGTTGAACCTCTGCAAGCTTTCCCCAGGCTTCAGCCAGTGTGGGGCTGCTCCTGAGGCTGTGCTTTGTCCCTGGCAGTGTTCACCCCCCGGGTCATAGGCACGGCGGTGGCTCGGTACAATTTCGCGGCGCGGGACATGCGGGAGCTGTCGCTGCGGGAGGGGGACGTGGTGAAGATCTACAGCAGGATTGGAGGGGACCAGGGATGGTGGAAAGGGGAAACCAACGGAAGGGTGAGTGCATCCAGAGAGATTCCTGTCCCGTTTCTGCAGTGGGATGTCCTCCCTGCTGTCAGGATGGCAGAGGGAAGGGTGGGTGGCCCCCAGGTCCTCTCGCTCTATTCTGGATTCTGGGTGGGTTGTCACCTCGTGAGAGCCACCTCTGTGTGGCCATTTGTGACAGTGGTATCCAGGGCACGCAGGTGGATGGGAGTATGTGCTGGGAGGCTCTGATCTTCCCTAAATCTGCCCCTGGGGGATATCTGTCCCGTAGGGGAAGGCTCAGCATCCTGGAAAAACCCAACAGCCTGGTGGCTTGACCTGGTGTCCCACAGATTTTGTGGCACTGGAGGTAGATTGTTCCTGCCCTGATCCCTTGCAGGCAGTGTGTCCAAGTTAATTCAGTTAATTAAACGTGGCTTGCTTGGCAGCAAAATGCAATCCCCCCTCTCTCCAAAATCAAGGCAGGGTGGAGATGGACTTGTTGCTGTTTGAGAAAAGGGGCTAAAATTAACAAAAAAAAAGTGGATGTAGCACTTTGGGATGTACAGGAGTTAACTCTGTCCCAAACCAGGGTGATGGCTCACACCAGCAGGATCTGGCACATCCAGGACTGGGAGCAGCACTTGATGGCAGGGGAATAATCCCAGTGACAGGACAGGGGCTCCCTTATAAAATCCCCAATTGGAAGGGCCTCGCAAACATCATCCCCAACAATCCCACCCTGAGTTGTCCAAATCCTTGAACTCCAACGTGTTTTGTGCACCTTTGAGCTTCCAGCCCCCAGCTGACCTGTGCTGTCCCCCCACAGGTGGGCTGGTTCCCCTCGACCTACGTGGAGGAGGAGGGCGTGCAGTGACCGCGGCCGTGGCCGCTGGAAGTCGTCGAGCGCCCGGAGCCAGCAGCTGCAGCCCGAGCACACTTGTCCCCGTGCTGGACACCTCCCAGGACTGCCCCTGCAGCCCCTCACGACCCCCCCTGCGCCCAGGCTGCCCCCGTTCCGTGTACAGAAGATTGATGGGCTGTGGGATGGCGCTGCTGGAGCGGCTGCGGGAGAGCCCCGGGAGAGCCGCGCTCTCCCTGCCATGGACAGAGCTCAGAGACTCTGGGGTGCCCACCAGGCTGGGGGTGCTGCACCCCTCTTCTGTCTCAAGGGGTTTTTAAAGCCACCCTGGCCATGGTGATGCGAGGGTGAGGCTGAAGGTTTTGTGCCTGGTGAGAATTTGGGGGGGCGGGGGTTCCAGGGGAGGGAGCCCCGAGGGGGCAACGCAGACCCCCTGCCACAGCACTCAGGTGGGTCCCCAGGTCAGGATTTTGGCAGTGGCCCTGGCAGCCGTGGGCAGCACGGTGCTGTGGGCAGGGTGGGGACACCTGGCCTGGGAGGAGGAGAGGGCTTGTGACCATTTTGACCCTCAGATGTAGGCTGGGAGTGGACCTTCGTGGGAAAGAGCCATTTTGCCACCCCCAAGCTCATTTTCTTTACAGTCCCCTCAGTCCCACCAGCCTTGCTGCAGGCAGAGGGGGTGCCCAGGGAGCAGACTGGTCCCAGTGGTGAGCAGGAGGTCTCTGTGCATTGCAGGACTGGAGATGTGCTCCACACAAGGGTTTCAGAGGCCACCAATGCAAAGGATGTGTCCCTGGGTCTGTCCTCCCCTTGCTGGCAGCAGGACCCCCCCCCCCAAGCCAGGCTGATTTTCCTTGCAGCTGTGACAAATCTCACCTCATGAGCTCAGGGCAAACCCACCCGAATAAGGGCTACGGTATCAAGTCCTGGATCCTGTCCCTGAGCTGTGAAAGCATCTCCTCTTCCCAGCTGTGTGCACTTTTTGGGGGCTGGCAGCGTTGCCCCCCGCTCTTCCTCCCACAGGCTCTTCCTGCTGCTGCTGTCAAGTAAAGGTCCGTGTGTTGTGACATTCCCACTGTGTCCTGAGCACCCTCTGTCCGAGTCTGCCCTTCCCAAAGTGCAAATACAAACTAAATACCTGTGTGGGAGCGTGACAGGGAACAACTTCCCTCTATCTGAGCCCCAGGAGCTGCTTCTCTGAATACGTGGTGGTATTTTGAGCTGGTGCTTCCATGCCCTGACGTCGTTCCCCCGGGATTTGTGGTGGTCCTGCTGTGCAGCATCGTGTTCCTGGTGTGGGATCCTGGTGCAAATGTGGGAGATGTCAGTTTTGGGTGGGTGAGCAGTGCTGGTGCCCCCAGTCCCTGGCATGGGGGTCTGCAAACAGAGCAGCAGAACCATGCTTGGGATGAGAAATGGAAGAGTTTGGATCTCTCAAGGACAAGGGAATGATGCTGACTTGGGAATTTCATGCTGCTGCTCAGTGACAAGCCCAGAGCCACCCTGCCTTGCTCCCCTGTTCCTCCTGGAGCTCTGGGGGTGCCCCCACTCGTGGTGGGGTGTGAGGTGGGTCTGGCTGGGGCAGACAGGAGCTGACGGGGACACGGAGGGGCTCAGGGCATTCCCAAGGTACTGTTTGGTGCTAACCCCTCCCAGGCAGCCCCTCCACGCTCAGTTTGAGGGGAGCAGCCAGCAGGGAGCTGAGGATTCCCTGCTCCTGTGCAGAGCAGGGGGTGCCATTCCCATTCCAGAGGCTGTGCTGGAGCTGGGGGGGAATTTGGGTGGATGGGACACACAAACTCCTGATGGCTCCTGCTCTGCCTCACATCCTAAAGCCTTACAGCCCCTCCTGTTTGACGTGGCCAATTTTGTAAGGTGGCAAAGGGAGAGCACAGCCCTGTCACAGGGACCAGGGCACCTCTGTCCCTTACACCCCAAAGGGACCCCCACCCTCTGCCTGCCCTGCCAAACCCCCTCCCCCAGAGAGCTCTCCCTCTTGTGTTTACTGGTGTAAGAAACTTGTTGAAAAAAAAAAAAAAGAGATTGTTCTGTTTGTAAGTAATTATTCAGCCATTTGCCACAAATATATCTGTGAATAAGAAAGGGAAATGTTTTTTTATGATGGCGAGAAAATTGTATGTATTATTTTAGTTCGTCGCAGATCATTTGGAATTGCAATGGGATACGTTGGAAAATAATATGTAAATTCCTTGGGTTTTTCCTTTGCACTGCACTAACTGGGGTAGGGTGGAGGGGGTTTTAAAGATAAAACTGTTTGTTTAATGGAATAGTTTATAGCTGGGAATTTGGAAATCATTTGGAATAGCTTGTAATGCTGGAATAGAAACTTTAGCTGCTACTTAGAAACCCTTTTGCATGTGGTTTTTCCAGGCCTTTTTAAGTTACAATTCATCAAAGTAAATTCCCCAACGGAAAAAAAAAACAAAATAAAGTGTAATTTTGCTGATAGGTTTTTAATTCCAGCCATGATTTTTAATGTGCCAGGGGGGTGAGGATTGTGTCAGGGTCGTTGTCACTAAAACCCCCTTGGCTGCAGTGGGGCTCAAGGCTGGGTCCATCCAGGGAGGATGGGTGCTCCCAGGGATGGATCCTTCCTGATTCCTGGCATGAACAGTAAGCGTTTTTACCCCTCCAAAATTTGAGTAGATCCCTCCTGTGGTGCCTGTCAGGTTCCTTCTCATTCTTGGAGCAGCTGCCACTGCAGTTGTCCCATCCCAGAGCTTTCCTGTGACTCTTTTTTCCGAGCTGAACCCCTAGGGTGAAATAGAGGCTGATTTTTCCATGGCTTTTAGTCACTCCTGACTATCCCATTCCAGAATCCCACCTGGCCCTGCAGGCAGCAGTGTATTCCAGAGCAATAAATAAGTTGCACAGTTATAAAAACCTGAGGTGTTCAAGGTGCTTCACCTTGAGCAGGGATGTGATGTCCCCGTGGGCTGCCGTGTCATTTAATTAAGAACATTAATTTTTTTTCCACTCTTGGAGTCCCCAGTGCTTGACTTTTCCCAGGGTCAGCTGGAAGGGGATGTAGCATGAGCAGAGGGGTTTTACTCAGAGAATCAAGATGTGAGCTGGGCACTCAATTTTGGATGCTGGTTTGGGAAGGTGCTGCCCAGCTGGGTATTAAACCTTCATCCAGGTGCTGATCCTGCCTGGGATAAACTTTTCTTATCGTGGCTGTTTGGTCTAAAGGAATCTCCCCAACATTCACCAGGTATTAAACACCAGGTTTTGGTGCCTGACCCATCCCCAGCCTGGCTCTGGGTGGGTGGAATGGCCATGGCACAGCTGGGCTGCCAAATGCAGCACTGGAGCCTGGAACCGAGAGCTGGGCAGTGCAAAAATCTGCTCCCATTCTGTCCTGCCTCTGGGGACATCCCTGCCAGCCCAGGGGTGGGGACACTGAGCGCTGGGGAGTGGCTGGAGCTGGCAGGTGAGTGCCTCCACTCACAAAATCTTCTCCTGGGAGTTGCTCCAATGCAGGGTCTGCCAGCTCAGGAATAAATGGGGCATTGATCCAGCGTGCCCAGCCACGGCCAGGTGCAGTAACCAGAGCAGGAGCAGCATTCCAGGGGCATTAACAGGAGAATAAATCCCAGCCATGGCCAGCACAGCTGGCTCCAGCCCTGCACAGCCCCTGGCCTGTCCCAGGAGAGGGGGGGACACACCAGGCACGGGGTTTTATTTATTCTGGTTTTTCCCCCTGCAAGAGCAGCTGCTGCCACAATTCCCCCCATGAGCCGGGCTCTGAGCAAACACGGTGAGGGGGTGGCTGTGTTTGCTGGCTGCCCTCTGCCAGCAGCAGCTCCTGTCACAGTGTGACAGCCACCTGCCCTGGCCCTGGGACTGCCCCTTGAGCCCCATGGCCACCAGCCAGAACGTGGCCACCTCCTTTGGCCACTCTGGGGGTGAGCTCACTCAGCCCAGCCCAGCCCGTGGCATCCCAAAAACAGGGTCCAAACTGCTGTGCCATCAGGGTGGGGAAACCGAGGCAGGGGGTGGCCAAGAGGAGAGATCAGAACAGCTCTGCCCAGCAGGACTCTGTGGGATCTGGGTGCTTTGGGTCAGGCTCAGGTGCTGGTGGTGCTTCCCAAGCCCAAATGGAGGTTGTGGGGCAGAGCTGAGCCCCATGAGGATGAGGATTGGGGTGGCAGAGGAATGCTGACAGTCTGCAGCACGCCTGGCTGCCTCAGCCCTGCACTAACCACGTTTTCTGTGACCTAGAAAACTCCAGCTGGCGCCTGAACCACTGCGCTGCTCTATTTTAGAATTAACCTAAAAATTAGAGGGGGAGATTTGCAGTGTGGCTCCCTCCACGCTGGACTGACAATCCCAAAATCTATCCCCTCTCATTTCCTGCTCTGGAGTCACATCAGGGCTCAGAGGGGATTTAGGAGCTGCCACTTTCCCTGCTGTCCATCCTGAGTTGCTGAAGGGCTCAGGCTACTGAAGTGGACTTGGGCTTGTATTGTTCTAGGTCTGGTCTAACCCAAAGGTCATATTTATAGTTTGGACACGCTGATGAAATGGTTCTGGCCTGTCAAACAGAAACACCCCATTGCAAACAGGAGTTTAGACTTGTTTGCAGCTCTGTGGTTATTCTGAGCAATTTAGTCCGTGGAGAAGCCTGCAAGAGCTGGGGCTCTCTGTAAAACTGAGAAACTGGTTTTGTGTTTGGGAGAAGGAGGGGAAATGCTGCTGGAGACAGGGGATAAAGCTGGAATAAGTGAACCCCTCGGCTCCTGTTCAAACCCTTCCCAAACTGGGGCAGTTTGGGTGCACGCTGGGTACCACAGGGTGTCCAGCAGGTAAGGGCAGAGGGATTGGGTACTGAGGAGCAGAAAAGGGGCACTTCCACTTAGGCTGGATGCTGAAACCCCCACAAAAACCCATCCCTGGGCTGCTCAGAGCTCTGCAGGGGTGGGTGATGCTGCCTGGGGGACCACGATGCTGCTGGGACCCCAATCCCTCCCAGCCAGCAGCCAAACCACAGCTCCACCTCGACTTCTGCTTCTCCAAGATACCAGCATGAGGCCCTTCAGCAGAACTTCTGTATCCTGCCCAAACAGGCCCTAATTCCAGGGGTGAGCCCTGGGCTGAAAGAACAACAAACCTCCAGCTTTAGAGATCTAAATCAAACCCTTATTTTTCTACCCAACTCCAATCTAAATTTTTTTTTTTTTGTGTTGCCGCTTTCACTTTGAGCTCTCGGGTCTGGCTTAAGAGAGGTGTAAATTAATTTAAACTCTGTTCTTTGACTGGAGCCACTGGGAACTGCAGCAGGAGGGTCAGATGGTGCCTTTCCTCGCCGTGTTTGCTCTCTGGCATCCAGCTGACAGCTCCAGCCAGCGCCAAG